CAATAATAGTAGGAGACTTCAACACCTCACTGATAGTATTGGACAGATCATCAGGGCAGAAAAGTAACAAACATATCTGGGAGGGACCTGAACTCAACACTTGACCAAGTAGACTTAATAGACATCTACAGAACTCTCCACCCCAAAACAACAGAATATACATTCTTCCCATCTGTATGTGGCACCTACTCTAAAAATCACCACACAATTGGGCAGGAAATTTTTCAAAAAACTGAAATCATACCAACCACACTCTCAAACTATAGTGCAATAAAAATAGAAATCAATGCTAAGAAAATCACTCAAAACCTTACAATTACATGGAAATTAAACAATCTGCTCCTGAATGACTTCTGGATAAATAATTAAATTAAGGCAGAAATCTAGAAATTATTTGATACTAATGAGAAAAAAGGTACAACATACCAGAATCGCTCAGACACAGCCAAAGCAGTATTAAGAGGGAAGCTTATAACACTAAATGTCCACATCAAAAGGTTAGAAAGATCCCAGATTAACAATCTAACATCACAACTAGAGGAATTTGGGCCAGGTGTGGTGGCTCACGCTTGTAATGGCTCACGCTGGTAATCTCAGCACTTTGGGAAGCTGAGGTGGGCAGACCACTTGAGGTCTGGAGTTCAAGACCAGCCTAGCCAACACAACAAAACCCCAGCTCTACTAAAAATACAAAAATTAGCTGGGTTTGGTGGCACATGCCCTAATCCCAGCTACTCAGGAGGCTGAGGCAGGATAATTGCTTGAACCTGGGAGGCAGAGGTTGCAGTAAACTGAGATCATGTCACTGCACTCCAGCCTAGGTAACAGAGATTCCATCTCAAAAAAAAAAAAAAAAAAAAGACCAGAGTAATTAGAGAAAAAAGAGCAAACAAACCCTAAAGCTAGCAGAAGACAAGAAATAATCAAAATCAGGCCAGGAATCATGACTCATGCCTATAATCTCAGCACTTTGGGAGCCTGAAGCAGGAGGATTGCTTGAACCCAGAAGTTTGAAAACAGCCTGGGCAACATGATGAGACCCCATCTCTACCAAAAAAAAAAAAAAAAATTAAAAAACGAAAGAATCCAACTCAGAGCTGAACTGAAGGAAATTGAAATGCACAAAATTATGCAAAATATCAATGAATCCAAGAGCTTTTTCTTTGAAAGAATTAGTAAGATAGACTCAAGCTAGACCAATAGAAAAAAAAAGAGACCAAAAAAAAAAAAAATCCAAACAAACACAATCCAAAATGACAAGGGAGATGTTACCACTAACCCCACAAAATACAAAAACCTTCAGAGACTATTATGAGCATCTCTATGCATGTAAGCCAGAAAACCTAGAAGAAATGGATAAATACAGTCTCCCAAGATTGAACAAGGAAGAGAATAAATCTCAGAACAGATCAGTATGAGTTCTAAAATTGACTCAGGATTAAGTAAAAAGCCTACCAACCAGAAAAAGCTCAGGATCAGATGACACTTAGCCAAATTCTACCAGATGTATAAAGAAGATCTGGTACCATTCCTACTGAAACTATTCCAAAAAAATTGAGGAGGAGGGACTCCTCTTTGACTTCATAACCAAGTAGGCTTCATTCCTGGGAGACAAGGTTGGTTCAACATACACAAATCAATAAATGTGATTCACCAAATTAACAGAATTAAAAGCAAAACCCATATGTTCATCTCAATAGATGTAGAAAAAGCTTTCCATAAAATTCAACACCACTTCATGATAAAAACCCTCAAGAAACTAGACATCAAAGGAACATACCTCAAAATAATATGAGCCATCTATGACAAACCCGCAGTCAACATACTGAATGTGCAAAAGCTGGAAGTATGCCCCCTTGAAAACCAGAACAAGATAAGGATGCCCTGTCTCAACATTCCTATTCAACACAGTACTAGAAGTCCTAGCCAGAACAATCAGCCAAGAGAAAGAAACAAAAAGCATCCAAATAGAAAGAGAAGAAGTCAAACTATCCCTGTTTGCAGAGGATATGGTTCTCTTCCTAGAAAACCACACAGTCTCTGCCCAAAAGCTCCTTGATTTGATAAACAACTTCAGGCAAGTTTTGGGATATAAAATCCATGTACAAAAATCAGTAGCATTCCTGTATACCAACAACGTCCAAGCTCAGAGCCAAATCAAGAATGCAATTTTATTACAATAGCCACAAAAAGAATAAAATACCTAGGAATACAGATAACCAAGGAGGTAAAAGATCTCTACAATGAAAATTACAAAATACTGCTTGAAGAAATCAGAGATGACACAAACAAATGGAAAAATACACCATCCTCATGCATAGGAAGAATCTATATTGTTAAACTGGTCATAGTGCCTAAAACAATGTACAGATTCAATGCTATTCCTATCAAATTGCCAATATCATTCTTCACAGAATTAGAAAAAACTATTTTGAAATTCCAATGAAACCAAAAAATAGCACAAATAGCCAAGGTAATACTAAGCAGAAAGAACAAAGCTGGAGGCATGACATTTCCCAACTTCAAACTATACTACAAGGCAACAGTAACCAAAATACCATGGTACCGGTATAAAAGCAGACACATAAGCCAAGGAAACAGAATAGAAAGCCCAGAAATAATTTCACACACCTACAATCATCTGATTTTCAACAAAGCTGACAAAAGCAATCAATAGGGAAAAGACCCCTATTCAATAAATGGTGTTGGGATAACTGACTATCTATATGCAGAAGACTGAAACGGGACAACCCCTTCCTTACCCTACATACAAAAATCAACTCAAGATGTTTAGATTAAAACCTAAAACTATAAAAACTCTGGAAGATAACCTAGGAAATACCATTCTGGACATAGACTTGGCAAAGATTTCAAGATGAAGACACCAAAAGCAATTGCAGCAAAAACAAAACTCAACAAATTGGATCTAATTAAATTAAAGAACTTCTCCACAGCTATCAATACCGTAAACAGGCAACCTACAGAATGAGAGAAAGTATTTGCAATCTATGCATCCAACAAAGATCTAACATCCAGAAACCGTAAGAAACTTAAATAAATTTACAAACAAAAGCAAACAACCCCATTAAAAAGTGAGCAAAGGATATGAACAGACACTTTTCAAAAGAAGAAGCTGTGTATGGTGGCTCACACCCGTAATCCCAGCTCTTCAAGAGGCTGAGGCAGGTGGACCCCTTGAGACCAAGAGTTTGAGACCAGTCTGGACAACATGGTGAAACCCCTTGCTACAGAAAATACAAAATTAGCCAGGCATGGTGGTGTGCATCTGTAATCCCAACTACTATGGAGGCTGAGGTGGGAGGATTACCTGATCCTTGGAGGTCGAGGCTGCAGTGACACCTGATCATGCCACTGCACTCCAGCCTGGGTAACAGAATGAGACTGTGTCTCAAAAAAAAAAAACAAAAACAAAAACAAAACAGACATATGCATGGCCAGAAAGCAATGCTCAACACCACTAATCATTAGAGAAATAAAAAACCACAATGAGATACCATCTCACACCAGTCAGAATGGCTACTATTAAAAAATCAAAAAATAATAGATACTGGCAAGGTTGTTGAGAAAATGGAACACTTATACACTGCTGGTGGTAATGTAAGTTGGTTCAGCCATTATGACCAGTTTGATGATTTCTCAAAGACCTTAAAACAGCATTACTATTCAATCTAGCAATCCCATTATTGGGTATATACCCAAAGGAATATCAATTGTTCTGCCATTAATACACATGCACGTGTATGTCCATGGCACCACTGTTCACAATTGTGAAGACATGGAATCAACATAAATGCCCATCAACAGTAGACTAGATAAAGAAATGTGGTACATATATACCATGAAATACTATGCAGCCATATAAAAGAATAAGATCTTTGCAGTACCATGGATAAAGCAGAAGGCCATCATCCTAAGCAAACTAACACAGGAAAAGAAAAACAAAAAAACAGGGAAGGTCTCAATAGGATGTCCTACTGTGACCTCCCTTTGTGGGATATCAATTTGGTGGATTCATGCTCCCAATAACACTGATACGAAATTGCTGTCTGGAGAGTTAGACTAAAAGAAATAATGCACATATTCATCTCTTTGACTCATTTTCCTTTGATTTTGTATATTAAGAGACTAGTTTGTTCTTGTTTCTGGTTTTGCTGTTTGTTCATTTGCCTGTTGGTTTGCTGTTTGTTCATTTGCCTTTGAACACAAAATTTGTTTCAAAAAATTCCAAGGCAATAGAATCAGCACCTTCTTACCATATCTTATCTGCCACTAACGATCTGTCTGGGCCAACTTGGATGCCTTGAACAAGCTCAATGGCTTACTCATCAGGAACACATTTTCCTGCTAGGATACTGATAAACCATCAGCAGTTCAATTGATCTTAACTTCCCCAGTCTAATTCCAAGGAAATTTACCCACATTGACTACTTGCAAAAGGCCATTTAACTACTCAAAGACAGTGAAATTGGTATAGAAACACTTTGCAGGAAATCAACGTAAACCTAAAAAACCATCCAGTCACAGTTAAAGACTTGGCTCTGTGTAATTCCAAACCTGAAGTTCCTATTTTCCAACCTCTTGGTTTTCTTTTCTGCTAAAGGATTAAGACGAATAAGTGATAGAATGAGAGACAGAGACAGGGAGACAGAGGTATTTTTTTAAATAATTTTCAAATAAAAATCATGAATAGAATTATGAAAATTGTATATTTACTAAAGAATTGCAATGTGACATCCCACTTCAGACTCCTGATCTTCAGTCCCTTTATTCCAAATATTCAAATTTCATTAGAAAATAACAATTCCAAAATCCAAAATTCTCCAATTAACATGTACTTAAAATTACTAGATAATACGAAATTTGAAGACAGATTTTGCCCCATTAAATGTTCTCAGCTTTTGTACTCTCTGTCATGGTGCATAATTTGAACTTTAAAATTTCTATGGAAAAGCTAATAATCTATTAAGATAAAAACTCACCTAAGTTTTGCAGCCAAGGACATTGAGGTATGCACATTCTATTCTGTAGAAGAGAAATAAAAGTTTTACAATAGTCACTAGAAGGAACACAGTGAAAAACAAGCTGCACGAAACTAATCCCCCCAACCTACAAAGAAATACGGACAATTGAGGCTTAATAGTGGCAGTCATGAAGAAACAAGGTCATGTCAAATTTACAATGGTAACAATTTTTAAGGGAACTCTGAAAATTCATTGATTGTATTAGAAGAGTATTGTTTATGTGGTCCTCATTGTCCAGGGTGGAAATCAAAAGCTCAGTTTACTAGGGGTCTCCACATTGACACCACCCTCTCTTCTCTACCCATTCCCACCCCGTAACTATACACAAGCGTTTCTAGGCTTCCAACATAGCCGGGTTTCATGGTGGGATGAAAGTATCATTCCAAACTCACAGTTATTCAGGAACAGTGAGAAGCCTCAAATCGCCAGTTTCTCATTGCCCTAGACCAAAGCCTTAGTTTCCTCCTCTGTCCCAGGAAACTATACTGCTTGGGCAACTTGAGGGTATAGATACACTGCATTTGGATCTCAACCATTGTGCTTGGTGGTTGCTCTCCCCATTCAGAGTTCCCAGGGCATTCAGTGGTGGCGTGTCCCAACATCACTTTCTCAAACCATCTGTAGAGGCAGCACCTGCTAATTCCCTGCTGAGATTTCTATTGGCAAGGCTTGCTCCAAGCACTTGTTCAAAGCTCTGGGAAATTGCATAATATTGAGTTAACTTTCTAACTGCACTTTCTGCTCCTGTCTGTGGTTCTTTAAGGTAAGGTACATTTTCATTCATCTTCTATTGAGTGAAATTCGTATAGAATTTGAGTTTCCTTAATGGCCCTCACAGACAGCAGCAACATAGAGCTTATCAGTCACCTCTGTTGGGATAGAATGCTGTATTATAGTCCCTTGCTGTTGGAAGGGTAGTCTGAGGACCAGTAGCATTGGTATCACCTGGGGGTTGAATAGAAGTGCAGAATCTCATCCCCCACCTCAGCCCCATTAAATCAGAATCTGTATATTATCAAGAACTCAATGTGATTCATATGCACATTAATGTTTAAGAAGCATGGCATGCTGGTGGGGCTATGGAGAAATAAGAACACTTTTACACTGTTGTTGGGAATGTAAATTAGTTCAACCATTGTGAAAGACAGTGTGGCGATTCCTGAAAGACCTAGAACCAGAAATACCATTTGACCCAACAATCCCATTATTAGGTATATACCCAAAGGAATGTAAATCATTCTATTATAAAGATACATGCACACATATGTTCATTGCAGCACTATTCACAATAGCAAAAACATGGAATCAATCCAAATGCCCATCAATGATAGACTGGATAAAGAAAACGTGGTACATATACACCATGAAATACTATGCAGTCATAAAAAGGAACGAGATCATGTCCTTTGCAGGAACATGGATGGAGCTGGAAGCCATTATCCTCAGCAAACCAACAGAAACAGAAAACCAAACACCACATGTTCTCATTTATGAGTGGGAGCTGAACAATGAGAACATGTGGATACAGGGAGGGGAACAACACACACTGGGGCCTGTTGTGGGGAGGTAGGAGGAGGGAGAGCATCAGGAAAAATAGCTAATGCATGTTGGGCTTAATACCTAGGTGATGGGTTGATAGGTACAACAAACCACCATGACACACGTTTACCTATATAACAAACCTGCACATCCTGCACATGTACCCCAGAAATTAAAATAAAATAAAATGAAGTGTGGCAAAAAAATGTTTATTCCTGTGCATTCCACTTACATATGAAACAAAGGAACATACATCCAAAACTCCTTTTGGAAATAGCCCTTGCTTCTATCTAGTAAATTTCCAAGGGAAATGCATAATAAAACATTCTAATATGTGTGGGATATACCTAAATGAGGAATCCCTTGAGGCTAATCAATGGTTTTCTGTGCAAAAAAGGAAATCAATGGCATTTGATATGAGCTGATTTAACTTGCAAATGATATGGCATATTTATGCAAATAATAGCAAGTAGGCACCTAGTCTTCTCTACCAAAACCCACACTTTATGTCACACCTGATTTTTGTTTCATACTCATGGAACTGTTTATGATGACACTTTCAGGAAACTGTTCCTAGTGAGAGGAAGAAAATCTGAAAATGATTTTTAATATTCTTTGTGAGTTACCTGTAATAGTTCTTCAATAAAAGCCAGAAATTTTGCAAATTTGCCTTTTACCTCGATATCCCTCACTGGTATTAACTATGATAAGAATAACCCAGCATATAAATCACCCAGTTTCATCTCTACTCAGCATCTTTAGTGAAAGGGCCTAAAAGGCTGAATGTTTAACAAGCACCAGCATGATTCTTAGCAACAAGGAATTTTGAAAAACTTGGCAAGTTGTTCCACACTTGAGAGGGTATCAGATTCACTAGTATTCACTCTGTTAAAAAGATCAGGTTTCTGGATCCCAGCCTGATTCAGTAGATTGATGGAGAAACACAGGATCAGCATTTTAAAAAAAAATAGCCCAGGTGATGCTCAGTGAAATATTCCAAGAACCACCCCTTGAAGGTCATTGCATAGGGGCATTACCCTACTGCAAATTTGTCCCCATCCTGTTCTCTGGGACGAAAGCCACTCTCAAGTCATAGTCTACTGGATCATATTTCCCATGGTTATGGTTCAGACCTTTACAGCCCAATTTAACACAAAATGTGTTCTTGCCTCAATGACGTTACTAACTAGTTCCCTGTAATTTTCCTATCAACAACTAAACTCCCTACCAGTCCGTTAGATCCTCAGTAGCTAAGGTTCCTGTCCTCAAAGCCCAAATTACCCTGATAAGGTCATGGAAAAATTCTTCCGGCTCTATCCAATGCCAGCTTCTTGAGCAGAACTGTGCTGTCTACCTGCTGCCTGCGACTGGGGATCCTTGTTCATTGTTGTGATCTTTTCTTTGTTTCATTGATCAGAGGTTTTCATATTTATTTTTAGCCATGAAACTTTTCCAAGAAAAATCTTACTTGGAACTCCAGTAGAATATCAACCAAGCAAAACTGCTCTGAGCTAGTGGAACAAAGGAAAGTGAAGGTAGAATCTAAGTAGGCATTCTTCCCCCTCCCCAATGCATACATGCCTGCACACAGTCACATCCCCATTCACCCATTTACACACACACAACTATTTGCTCACATTTATGCACAGTTGCATTTGCACACTCCTGTTCAATCACACTTACACATACACAATCACATGTATATCCCCATTTATACAAATACACTCACATGCACACACCTTATTTGCTCACATTTACATACACACACACACACACACACACACACACGACTCTGAGGCAGTTCTGCAGAACTTTGTGAATCTATGGAACACAGTCTGAAAATCTCTACTCTGAGTCATGGATTCAATTTTTTAGGCATTGTCTTATTGGACTGCCTTTCCAGGCTTGAATTCCTGACTTTAAATCTACCTTCAAAAGATAAAATGTCTCTTCTTGAAAAACAACTAATGAAATTAGCTCCCGTGTTTACACTTCCAGTTCCATCTTACTCTACAGATTGGGTAAAAGTTCCCGTCCAAACAATTCCTGTTCAGACCTACTCAACCATTTATCAAGTTTGGGCTGTTATATGCTCATAGATATTTTCTGGAAAAATAATTTAACAAATTAAAGTTAGAAATCATTATGTGCAACTGAAATACCTAGTATTTAATGCTTTGGTACTATTATAAATTATGCTTTTTTAAAATTTAAATTTATATTTTTTCCATGCTAATATATTGAAATACAATTGATTTTTGCACAATGACTTTGTATCCTGCAATCTTGCCAGGCTCATTATTACTTTTAGTACCCTTTTGAAGATTCTTTAGACTTCTCTGCACAGGCAATCATGTTGTCTGCAAATATAAACATGGTTAGTTCTTCCTTTCCAAGCTACATGCTTTTTATTTATTTTGCTTACATAATTGCACTGGCAAGGACCTCCAGTATGAGGTGGATTAGGAATGGTGAGAGCAGACATCCTTGTCTTGTTTTTAATATTAGAGGGAGAACATTCTATCATCAAGTATGATGTAAGCTCTAGGCCACCTTTTAGTGTATGCTCTTTATCTTATATAAGAAAGTTTCATCCTACCCCTGGTTTACATAAAGAGTTTTTATCATGGGGCAGGGCGGGGTGGCTCACGCCTGTAATCCTATCACTTTGGGAGGCCAAGGTGGGCAGATTGCCTGAACTCAGGAGTTTGAGACCAGTCTGGGCAACATGATGAAACCCTGTCTCTATTAAAAATAGAAAAAATTAGCCCGGCATGGTGGTACATGCCTGTAATCCCAGCTACTCTGGAGGCAGAGGTTACAGTGAGCCGAGATCGTGCACTGCACTCCAGCCTGGACGACAGAGTGAGACTCTGGCTCAAAAAAAAAAAAAAAAAAAAAAAGAGTTTGTATCATGAACAGGTGTTAAGTATTATCCAGAAGATCATATGGTTTTCCTGCTCCAAGCTGTTGATATGATGAAATTCATTGATTGATTGTTGCATATTGAATCAGCTTATACATCTGGTATAAACCCAGGTAGGTCATGATATATTATCCTTTTCATACAGCATTGGATTCATTTTGCTAGCATTTTCTCGAGAAAATGTGTTTTACATCTATGTTTATGAGTGATAATTGGTCTATCGTGTTCATTTTTTGAAATGTCCGTGTCTGGTTTTGGTATCACGGTAATGTTGGCCTTATAAAATGAACTGAGAAGCATTCTTTTCTTTTTTTTCTTTTTTTCTTTTTATTTTCTTTTTTTTTTTTAGTTTTTGGAGACTGAGTCTCACTCTGTCACCCAGGCTGGAGTGCAGTGGTGTGATCTCAGCTCACTGCAACCTCTGCCTCCCAGGTTCAAGCGATTCTCCTGCCTCAGCCTCCTGAGTACGTGGGACTACAGGTGCGTGCCACCATGCAGGCTAATTTTTTGTATTTTTAGTAGAGACGGGGTTTCAC